TGGGGTCTTGCAGCACGCCTACTATTTGGATTACAAGGCACGTAAACTCTTAGTCTTGTCCTTTCTTTCACTGTTAAATATTCTCTTAATGATCCTTAGGCATGTACTTGTGCAGAATGACAGAGGGAAGTATGTGAACACGTTTATGAACCACCTAGTGTCTTGGAGTGCAGCAATGGAGCGCATGGCACGTGCAGAGGCCTTTGTGAATTTAGGCGAACCAAAGATTCCCATTGCTTGATTTGGCGTAAATGTATCAGTGGCTACTCAATTGACAGGAGGAAAGACCTGAGGACCTGAAAGTAGAGCGAGTAGCAGGGTTGTTTTGGTCCTCGACTCTGCTAGCTAATTATGTACTTATGCTGCATCCATGCATAGAAGTGTCAGTCTCATTTCAGCAGCATCTCAAATGAGCTTGTAGAGCCTTCTAAGAAAAGGCTGGCGGCGGTAAGTTCGAATTTACAACATGCTGTATTCTGATTGCTGCATGTACTGATTCCATGTACCCCTCCAAATCATGTTTTGGCTCTCTTCAATGTCCCTGGAGGAAGAAAGAAACAAAAGAACGAATATTGATATTTTGGCTGTTCCAGTTTGTTGATTGGTATTGCAGTTAAATATCTTATTTTGGTTCATAAAGAGCTTTTTCTTGTTAGATCTAATGGGTTACACAATGTGGAAAGTATTATTTTAGCATTCTTTTGGTTTTGGATTTTCGTTCATAGGAAGCTCCTCCTTCTTTTGCTCTCTAAAAGGTATCATTTGGGTTCTCTTTTGTAAAATAAATTGTTATAAAGGAAAAAAAAGGGATGTCTACAAAATAGATAAAAATTTATATTGGGAGGTATGGAATAGTATTAACCTTCTTTATATGTACTTTATATGAGGATTCTTCATAAGATATAGGTGGAGAATAACAAAGTAAAGAAAGTTTATACCATCTTATCATCTCTTTCTAAAAAGAAAAGACATCTTCTTAACTCAACCCCTGAATAGGTTTAGAGAAATGATGATTGGCAGAGCTTAAGAAAACTTGATGTTTATAATTAGGGTTAGAAAAGAAAATATGTTTTCTCTAAACAAATATAATTAAATTATGAATGTAACTTGTTGGAATCTTACTACTCATAATTCAAATTTCATACTTCTTTTCAACTTAATAATATAATGATCTGAATCTCTTAGATAAATCACAATTTATCATAAATCAATTATAGTATAACCAAATATGTGGTAATATATTTTTATTAAATCATAGTTATTCACTATTTACACAAATTACTTTCTTTAGCTGTTTATAATATTAATATAAAATTGTTAAAATATTGTAATTCTCACTTTTTTCTATAAAAATTATATTTAAATAATAATAATAAATTTCAATTAATAACAATCTTACAATTGGATTCGATTTAAAAATTAAATTTTCTATTTACAAATTCAAATATTGATTTTACAGCTATTAGATTAGATTTAATATCTTAATTTATATTATTAGAATAAAAAATTTATACTAAATTCACCTTAAAAAAAAAACTTGTCCTGTTACAACGCAATTAATAAACACTCTGTCTGTTATTTACAATTCAATACTTTCAATGATATCATAATTAGAATGTTTTTTTTTAGAATTTAAAGTATTATTTCAAGACCATATCACATTTCTAAAACTAAATATTATAATAAAAATCTTTATGTTTATATTTAAATTACTGTTGCATTTTTATTCTAATCTATCTAATGTTCGAAAGTAAAATCTTAATAGAAAAGACAAAACACGACTATTATATTAAAAATAGTGATAGTCATTATAAGAGAATTGAATAAAGTACCACCCACTTAAATAGTATTTTAAAAAGATTATGATGATGATTTGTATATTTTTTATTTATCTATTTTTAAAAAACAAAATTATAATAACAAGTTATGTTATTACTACTAGTATCATTATTATAGTGATTTATGTGGTTACTATCATCATCAACTACCATCATCGCATAGTCATTGTAATAACAATAGTTATCATTATCAGTATTTGTCACCGCCATTAGTATTGTTGTTATTATTACTATTGCGTTTCTATCATAGTTATCATTTTCGATACTATAAATATTATTATTGTTATTACTATCATTCTCAATTTATTGTAATTACATGTTATCACCACCACCATTACATTATCATTGTTGTTATTGATGACTACTATTATTATAACTATCGTTGTTGTTGGTGTTATTATTATTACTACCATTACTACTATTACAACAGATGATGAATTATTAATACAAATTTAAAAAAAAAAAAGTAATATGATGTTTATACTATATTAGTTAGTTTGTTACTTATTTGGATAAAGATCTTATTTATGATAA